CTTGAATAAAGGGCATACCAGTGTTTGCTTTGCAGAATTGGTTCTTGTACGTTGGTAAATAAAATGCCTCTAAAGGTACAGTATTGTAATTCTGCAGCGAAAAAGTTGGAAAAGCACGTCATAATTAATTTGTACAAAAGACAAAGCAAGATCACTGTAAATTTGTCATCTGATCCTGAAATGGTTTATTAAAGCTAACATTTTCCTTTATAGAGTCTTTGTTGATGTTGTGAATGGAGAATATGTCCCTCGTAAATCAATTTTGAAGTCTCGAAGCAGAGAGAACAGTGTTTGTAGCGATACCAGTGAGAACAGTGCTGCTGAGTTTGATGACAGACGAGGAGTTCAGAGGAGTATTAGCTGTGATGAAGCTACTCAGAGTGACAACAGCGAAGGCATACTGGAGGAAGAGGAGGAGGAGGGGCAGCAGCAGCTACCGAAAAAGCTTCCTCCCTCTTCAGGGACAACCGAGGTACAGTTTTTAATTAATTATTGATTGTTGGCAGGGATAAAAATGAGAAATCTAATGACTGTAGTTGCCTATACCATCAGTTTGATTTCTTTAAAATAATTTTCTAACTCCTACCTGCTTTGCTGCAGAAGGACATTATCAGATGACAAGCTTCTGTCATATGCATCCTCGGGGCAGAGCGGAGGAGACAAGTCAGGTGACTTCCCGGAGACCTGAAGCTCTTTTGTAAAGATACGACAAAAGGGGAAAAAAAAAAGGAAAAAAATCCGTACTTCATAGTTAATGAGAGGGAGGGGTGAATTCTCCGTAACCTGTGTTTTATCAATATCCTGGTGCACAGCTACTAGGCAGCTAGTTTCCAGGTGGTGTCTTTAAGTTTTAAAACACATAAATATCATCTGAGTGATTAGTTGGACTAGCCAAAGGCAGAGGAATTGCCCTGTGGAAGGAAGCATTGCACCTCTACCCATCCTGTTCCAGACTAGGGCCATTAGTGAGCCCAAACAAATCTATTTCCACACGTTTAGAAAGTTCAGGGCTTTGTCATAAAGGAAAGAGACTGTACGACATAAGGGAAAACGTACAGTTGCTTAGGGACTGGATGAGGACAAGAATGAAATGTAGCCGCTGCTCTGAAATTCATGGCATAGAGTATTCTTCATTTTTATTTTGTAAGAACTTAGAGTAGTTTTTTCAAACTAGATGAAACTGAGTTTTCAGTAGTTCCCAATGCAGTGGGCAAGTTCAGTGAAAACACTATTTTGAGAAAAATTACTTTTGACAAGAAATGAATTCCTTGTAAAAACTATTGTTTATCATCGTTTTTCATAGCAGCAGCTACAGACGGATCCAGACAGGATGTGAAGATTCGTGGTGGAAGATCCCTCTGTAGAGTATACAACACTTCACGTTGTATACTTTCTGGAAAATTTTTGCTCTATTTTTATAGAACATCTAAGTACACTTTAGATGTTACCCATTAGTCCATTTTCGGAATACGGCATGATTATTCTCTACAATAGAATGTTTTTTCTAAGTAACTGAAGGGGAGCGAGCAAAACACTCCAGTGGAAGACATGACTTCTTAAATGCCGTTGTTTTGCTTTTGGTTGTTTTTGTGGGTGTTTGAAATACATTATTTCTCCATTACCGTTTGCAACGCACTTCACTTCTTCTCTTTTTGTTTCTAATTTTACCACGATCTTCTTAGGTTGTGTTTTGCTTACCTGTTTTTGAAAATGAGCGTGGTGTTCGAACAGCAGCGTTGTGTACAGGCAAGGCTTTAGGCGTACTTTGGCTATTGGAGCAGAAAAAACACTGCTTTTTTTGCAGGTCCTGCAAGAGAAGAATGGCTGGGTTGTTTTGCTTTGTTTTTCTTGGTAACTGAGTTATGAAAAAGCAGAACTTAGCATAGTTAATAAATCTGGTGTGCATTCCTTTGTGCCCAGTATGAGCATCAAGCCTTGGATGTAAACTGCTTCCCATTGTCCGTAGGCATTGACAGTCTTTTGTTTTCAATACGTAATAGGGTGATGCGTTCTTAAAGGTGTTTATGAAAATTCGCCTTTTTTCCCATTGTTTTCCAGGAATCACGGTCAATTCTTAGCTAAGTTAAAAAGGATTAAATCATACGATCGGCTGCGTAGAAATCACCATTTTGAACATTAAATGTTTTTATTAGACCTTTTGTGGTGAGAAATAGTTGGAAGCAAGTTTGCTGGTTTCTTAAGTATAAATTGCTTTCACCATTTTTTGATCATATTTGGTAAGGAGAAAAGAACAAACAAAATATGTGCTTGCCAATTTGTATGCAGTGTGTCAGCTTGATGCAATTAGAATATATTAAGTCATAAAATATGACGTATGGTGGAAATGCTGACATGCTCCAACTTTGCAAAATCTCTCCGTTTCTTATCCAAAATGAAACGATATATTACATCAGCTGTTTTATTTCTTGAGCGTGTGTCAGTGAGGAAGCAAATTTTTAGCTCATTTATGCGGTAGGAATGAGATTAAGTAGTACTTTTAAGACACTGTCTTTCATTCAGTCATCTTTGAACAAGCTGTATTTCGAGGTTAATTACAATTCGGTTACTTATGCGAGGAACAATCATTGATTTAAAGATATTTCTTTACTTTTGATTAAAAGAAATAACAATCCTAATCAGGCTAATATAGGGTAATGACCTTATGGGCATAGCTTCACATTTGCATTTTATTAGCTCATTTTGAGTATGCTGTTCTGTTGTAGGCATTTTCCGGAACCGTTATAGAAAAGGAGCCTTTGTCTCCCTCCTTGACACCACACCCAGTCATTGCTCACCCGGTCCTGCCCACCATTCTGGAGCGAAAATCAGAGGAGGTTTTGTCCGAAGCGTCAGAAGAAACTACAAAGAGGATTTCAAAATTCAAAGCTGCCAGGATGCAACAGACTAACTAGGTCCTGCCCTGCCGGCCGCGGCGGTGGGACTGGCGCCCAGGTTCGCGTGGGTCGAGGTGGTGGGAAACCCTCTGCGTTACACCTGCCTAGTTAAAAAAGAGTGTCCTGTGTTCATTTGGCGTTGGTTATCTTTTAAACGTTTATTGGCAACGTTAAAAAAAAAGTTCAGTGTTTGAACACTTGAGGATTTATCTGATTTTGTGGATTTCCCTGTGTGCTGTCAGCACCTCTGTATATGTTTGCCTTATGATAGCAGCACTTGGGTTCTTTCTCAAAAACTGTTCCTTACATACATTGTTTTTGTGTTTAAACCTAAATACAGGCAGTTTTGTGCCAGCTGTGATGTTCCACATACCATATGGACCATTTTAAGGAAACTTTTCACATTTCAAATAGATGCACCAATTATATTGCATTACTTGCTTTAGCATTTTAAGCCACACTTGTATTCACATTGTTGTAGGTTTTGCAGCTAGGTGTCTGCTGGAAGATTTTTTCCTTCTTTCAAACCTCTCTGATGTCTCCCTGTACAGATCTATAAACGCTGGGTTCATGTACATTGCAGGGAAGTTTCTTTGATGGAAAAGGGTATTTTGTAAAATTAAATTTTCAGTAAAAAAGCTGTGAAAGTTGTGTGTTTTTTGTCGCTTTGCTACTAATTTGGAAACAACGCGGGGAGGTTTTTATTTTGAACTTGCTTTTCTAGCTTGAAGTTTTTACTACCACATGGACATAAAAGCAGTCCATTCTCTTCTGCCATTGTGTTTTAACCTCCTGCTAATGAATGTCCATGGAAATTGAACGCTCTTAAGGAGAGCAGCATAAACTCAGACTCTGATTACAAAATCTCCTAGTTCTTTTGTATGCTCAGAAAACATTGTCATTGTCTTGGGAATGCCCAGAGGGAGTCCGCACTAAGGAAAAATGTCTTAATGCTTCAACTTTATTTCAAAATGCAACAGCACTGCCGCAGTCGGGGTACAGTTTTGCGTATCCTCCTCTTGACCGAGAGCAATCCTGGCTTTCGGAGTCGCTGCCCAGGAGCTTCTGCCCGTCTTCTCGCCGTCCCCTCCCTTGGGCTGACCCAGCTTTTGTTGGGCCACCCCTTGAACGATACTAGGTGGTGGAGCTGGGTTTAAAAAACAAACTACTGGGTTTAGTGGTTTTTTTTTTTTTCCTGACAGTTGTGTGTGTTTTTTTGAAGCTAGTGAGTTTTCCAATCTGTTTCTCAGCATGTCTGTATCAGCACAGTTAGAGGGGTGATGTGTTGAGCAAGGACAAGGAAAACGTTGGCAGAGGGCGCGGGAAGTTGGAGTACCTTAAACGGATGTTCCTCTCCAGCTGACACCATCAAACCACAGCCTGAAGAGTGAGGGCTTGGGCGGTGTAAGGGAGGATTTGCTTTTGGCCGCAGTTCTGTGGATTTGTAAACACGCAGCCTGAGAGCCACCAGCATCTGGTTTTCCAAATCTTGGCCATCCGTGAACAGGGTCTTGGCTAATGCCGTTTCCTCACCTTCTCCTAAATTAACTGTGCCGTGCGCTCCTATGCTTCGCTCCCGGATCATGGCAGAGGAGCTCACAGTGCAGCTTCGCCCCTTGAAACAGGATCCCCATCTCCCCCTTTTTTCTCTCTGTGCTGAGAAGGCAAGTGGGGGCATTGGGACTTCTTTTTCTAAGGTGACTCTTACAAAAGGCTTCATTCCATCGAACTCTGATGTTCTCCACTCAGAGTTTGGGAAGGTGGCGAAATTTCATGGGTAGAAAACACTGGCTGATGGGAGCTGGGGGGGATAATAGCTGGGGTCCCTGCCTGGGGGAGCAGCCCACCTAAGCTGCGGGGCTGCGTTTTCCCCGCGATACGGAGCAAATTGTGCTTTGCGGCAACAAAAACCGAAGGGAAAGTTGTGCAGCCCTCCCGTGCCCGAAGCTCGCCGGCTGGGAGGGGGCAGTCTCTGTTTTAAGTGGATGCCGAGGATCACGTTGAAAGTGTTAATGATTAACTGGATTCATGCTCAAATGCGGATTTTTTTTTTTTAAAGCATATTGCATTAGTACTAAAATAAGCCATCAATGCCAGTCCACCCTCTATTCACAGCTAAATATTTAAAGGAGGTTATTTATAGCTTCTTTAATGAATTCTTGGCTAAACAAAATGAAATTATGTCCTAGAAAAGTAGAAGCTATTTTGTAACCAGAACAGTGCAACTGTAAAATATAGTTCCATGAATATGTATTTTAAATAACAAGGGGTTGAGATCCAAGACTACCAGACATGGGTAATTAGAGGGAAAAGGAAAGAAAGAAAGAAAGAAAGAGAAAAACCCCTTTAAAAAGATTTATTTAGATATCTTCTGAAATACTTCCCACTTGTAGTTACTTCAACAAAACCGAATGCCCCTTGTCACCGTAGATCAGTTTCAAATCAAAATTAATTCTTTGCTTGTTTTCTTTCTCTCCCCTCCCCTTTTTTTCACATCCCCGCTCACGGGAAAAAGTGGGATAAATGCACCTTGGGTTTTAATGAGTTATGGCCTGGGTTCAGGGAAGCATCCTTACTCAGGAATGCGCTTTGGCATGTGCTTATGTCTCAAAGATTTTGCAAAGAAGAATGGATTTAACCACATGCTTAAAACTGAGCACATGAGTGTTTTCCCTAATAGGGAGCCTGAATGTGTCCGTGCCCTTTTTGCCGTGTATTTAATTGTCAGAGGGTTTGCAGGCTGGAATGAGCCTTCATCTTCAGTCTCTTCACTTGGGCCGTACCAGTAGATTGGCTGTGTGGTGCCTACAGCAAGAAGGGACGGCTGGAGGATTTCTGGAGAATGTTTGCAAATTCTAAACAAAAAAAAAAAAACAACTCTACCAAAGCAGATAAAAACCTAGACAGTAAAAAAATGATCACAGGAAGGCCCATCTCAGCAAGGACTTAAAATTTGCTTTTTGTGCAATGCTGAAGCCAACAAGTAGATGCAGATGACCACCAGCGTGCAGATGAAGCAAATGCCAGGATGGAGTGACGGTGACCCAAATTAGAGGCACGTAGGGTTCCTGGTAGTGAATTAATCTGTTGGTGGGAGTGTCTTTTTGCCCCCAGTGCTGCATTTAGTGATTTTATTCACTTAAATAGTAATAAGGGTACAGTCTAATCGATTTCTGAAACACCCTTGGTGGTTTTTCCAGGGAGCGCTGCCGAGGGCTGCAGGCGTGGGCTGAGCACGGGGCTTTTGGTTCTTCCCGGTGTTTCCCGAGGGGTTTTCCACATCGCCAGCAGGAAGGATGTGGCCTGGCTGGGGCTGGGGCCGCTTTGGCAGCCAGTCACCGGGGTAGCACAGGAACGCGTGTGCTGGAAGGAGCCCCGTCCCCAGCCCTGCCCCGGTGTCCCCATCCCGCTGGGGCATGGGCGAGCAGTGCCAGCTGAGCACTACCAGGCATGACTTCACAGGCTGGTGGAAATGCGGCAGGAGAAGACAACAGGGAGAGACACGACTGCACAAGATGCCTTTGCTCCAACATGGGAGCGGTGGCAGCAGCCTGCGTGACCACGTTGACGAGTCAACGCGCCTATGCCGTGCCCCACCGCCCTGCAGCTGCCCCACACAGCCCTTCACAGGGCCATGATTGCATCAATCAATCACTGCAAATTACCTGCCCCACTTCCATTCCTCATTGGGCAGCCAGTTTGACTCTTTTATCTTCTTTAATTGGCCCCAAGTCAGCTGGGCACCTGCCTATGCCCAGGGAAGGGGCTGGGTGGGAGATGCTTCCCCCGTGGAGCTGAGGAGACCTCCACCAGGAGAAGGGAAAGGGAAGGCAGCGGACCTTGTGCCGTCAGCGCAGCTGGGCCTGCGCCATCTCTGGTCAGCGGAGCCCACCACATGCGTTTTGAGGTAAACTGGGTTTCTTTCCCTCTCTCTCCTGTAAGACTAGTTGCACTTAGCGCTTTTCATTGCTCACTTAGAGCATCTAAAGCAGCGGATCTTTGTGTGTTTCAAGGGTGCCTAAACCAGCTGTTTTAGCTGTTCGTTTTAACAAAGTGATTTATGTTGCAAAAAATGAGCTGGGATTAAAAGAAATCAGATGTGTGTATTTGGTATGCAATATTTTTGTATTACAAATAGCTCCGTTCTAACCCACATTAACCCCACGATACGTGAATTTCGCCAACTCCCGCTGTGTCTTTTAAATCAAATCCAGTAAATCACTCCCAGCGCGTTCCAACGTCTAAACAAACTGGTCTCCCAGCAGAAGGCCTCCGGCGCGGAGCGGCCAAGTGGACGACCCCGGGCAAATGGCGCGTCT